CTGTTATTTGGTGCTTAAAGCAACAGTTCAGGGAGGGTCCGAAAATTTCAATGCCACTACTACTGAGGGATACACGAGCCCTAGTGAAGAACATATGCAGTGGAAATAATAAACGAACTTACCTCAGAAACTCAAAAACAGGGTGGAAAGTCCCTCAAACATGGGTGTTCTTGGGGATTTCCCCAATCCCGCCCCCTTGCCGGCCGTCATTGGACGCGTCGGCAATCGTGCTCGTTTTGGGACCACAGGGAAAATTGATTGAAAAATGGAGCGCGTTTACAGCGGGCACGTTCAGACAACTCGTCCAACGTGCGTCTTTATCCATTGCTGAGCGGCAGAGGGAGAGTACCTGTCTAAGACCCTCCCCGACGTTTTTTTCCAGTTTTTCATACATTAATCGTCTGGTTTTCATCTACAACTTCATTATTGGTGGTTTTTTCCCGCGAAACCGTTCCTGAACTGTTGCTTTAACAAAATCTTTACGGCCTTCGTATAACCTTAAGCATTTATACTGCTGTTCTGAACACAACGTTCATATGAAGGCCCTTTGTCGGATGGTGTGGCGAAAATCGTCTCAAATGATCCGCTTCTCCACGCATCTCCTTTTACATCCCTTAAACTTCCAAAACTAATGTGTTATCTGGCGAGGGTGGTTATGTAACTGTAATACATCAGCAAAGCAGTGTGGTATTATAGGACCAAAAGTTTTTCGCTGCGGGAACCTCAGCGTCCACTCATGATTATGGGGGACCTGGGGTTCCCGCAGGCAAAAAAGTGTCGTGCGTTTACCAGCGGATCCACACTGGGAAATTTTCAAATAGGTCCAGGAAGAAGACTCTGTATCCCTGTAGAATTTTCTAACACTTTTAAGTAAGTCCTCAAAAAAAAAAAAACTTTCACCTCTTGTCCTAGCATTGTCTGCCACTTCGGAACAGTCCAAACGTCCCTTTCTAACGCCCACTTGGTAACGCTTGATCTTGGTTTACACGTTGACGAATCGACAGCTCCTGGTCGAAATCAGTCAGTTCTACGGTTATACCGCAATTTTTCAAAGGTCTTGAAAAGGCTGGCAAAATTTGCATACCTTTGTAAGGAGCGCTGTCAACTGCCGTCCAAATAATATCGGTCCTTTCTCGATGAAGGTGTCCATTTCAGAACTTACGTGATCAAAAATTGTACGTAGATCAACGCACCTCGAAAGCGCCAATTCGCGACCATCTTTGCGCTTTTGCTGATTCTGGCACATTTCTCCGATCCTACACACTTGCACTCCACTTTTCCACTTTTGTCATCAGTACAATGGATGCCGAGAGAAGTTTGAACGTAAATAGCGGTAAGGAGCTGGGTTTCGTACCAAAACCCCTTGTGTAAGCATTGTATTGCCTCAAACGCTCGTCGTCGTCCATTTACACAGCGAAAATTCAAAGTATTTCTTCTTCTCGTAGAACCAGAATCTGTCATCATTTTTTTGGTTTTTTGCCGTTAATCCGCCAGCATTTCAGTGTGGTGAAAATGTCAACATTCATGTAGTGGTGTATAAATTATTACGTCCACGGCTGTCTATTACCAATACTTCAATTTTACTTTTTCACCACATCTAGTTGCTAGTATCATGCTTGGAAAACTTCAAAACACACTTTCAATATCAAGAAGGTGAACTCGATGAATACAGGTCGCAGTTCTAGTGTTGGAAGTTCTTGCAGGTTTTGAATATTGATTCAGCCCAGGCTTTATTACCAGGCTTTTTCCCTGCCTCCAAGCAAGCTTTGCGTTTCCTTATCTAGTTTTCTAAAGACGTGGACACATTGAAGAAGTGAGACATGAGGGGTTAGTCATTTTTCTTGTATTTTTCCCCTGCTGGTAAATCTTACCTATTGAATATCACAATTGATGCTTACCACGTATTATCCGTGAGTTCTCCCTCAGTAATCAAGCTTTTGTGTGTTGCGAGTAACGTATACTGTCAACAGATGTTCCTTTAACACATTATTTTGCCGCTACTCACATCCATGGATTTTGTGTAGTAAATGGCTCCCCTCTTTCTTCACGATTTGGGCGCCGCCGCCGGCCAAACTTAGCCGGGTTCGCGGCCGGGTGGTGCGGCATCAGCTTGCCTGAGTATTCGACGTTACATTACGTGTCGTCACGATCGGATGAACTAACACGTAAAGTAACGTCGAATACTCAGGCAAGCTGATGCCGCACTACTCGGCCGCGAACGCCCTCGTGAGTTTTTTATGCCGCGCGCAACGCGCCCTTTGCGAAATCGTGTTAAAGAAAGTGGTGTGGAGCCGGACTAAATGAACCGAAACATAAACAGCACAAAGTATTTTCAATACTATGCAAGACGTTAATTATTCTGATGTCAAAAATATGCAAAAAAATTACGACTAACTGGTGCGATCATTAGTTGACAGCCCAGTACATCGATAGAGTCTTGGGTGCTGTATATACAAATATGTACACTAAAACTGCTACGCGAACTTTGTAAAGTGCGTCTTAGAAGTTACAAAAAAAACGCTATTAATGAGGTGCAACCTAACAAACACGTGAACACGGTTTGCTTTTTGTCTGGAACTTTATTCTTATAAGGGTAGAATGGATGCCCTTTGATTACGAATATGAGCTCGTTTTTGGCACAGAGCCACGGCGACTGTGATTTCAACCAGGTAAGCTCGCCTCAGCAACGTTTTTTGCCAACTTTGGAGAACTTATGACCTTCATAAGAAGTTCAGATAGCAGTTTTAGTGTCCATACCTGTAATAGAGCGTTTCGATTGCTACTATTCGATGACATCTAGATCTTGTTCAAAGTCCATGGGAATTTCAAAGGCATTTCTAGCATCCATGACGACGAAGTCCAATTTGTTTCTTTCTAAATTAGACTAGACAGCGGTCACTCTACAACAACAAAAGCCTCAGGAGGTGGTTGATGCTTGTTTACGTCTCATTCGCACTCTTCGCAGGAGTTTAGTGACAATGAAATTATCGGGAATGTTACACTTGATCACTTGGTCCTGGCTGGGGGCTCTTTGCTGCATCACCACTAGCGTGTTACGGTAGTCGTTAAAGCAACAAGTTTAGATGAGGTTGTGTCGATGAATCTATTCTGTAGATGAGATATAGTAGCCCATGATTGTCACAGATGTGCCATTGTGCCAGGCTCGAAAGTGCGGTGCAGTGACAGTTGAGCTCTACAAAGGGCCCTACAAATTCTATAGTGATTATTGTGAACTTACGGAAGAGATTCCTCGCGCTCGCCCTGACGCAACGTAGATTATACTCCTTTCAAAAAACGAGAAGAGCGTCGGTGCAGACCATACACCACAAGTGACGACGGCCTCCACAAAATGTAAATGTTTTCTGCCAATGAAATGATTAGCCTGTTGCAGTTGTATTCTATTACATTACTATCATTTACCAAAATCATCACTATGAACCACTACTAACCAGATTTACTTGGAGGCCGTCGTCACTTGTGGTGTATGGTCTGCACCCGACGCTCTTCTCATTTTTTGAAAGGGAGGGTACGTCGTAGTGGGTAAGATAGTCGGCGGGTAGCACTGAAATCTCATCGCACTGACACATTGTGCTCAAAAAACTCGTCTAGACACATCCATTGCACGTTATCGTTATCAGTCGTTGTTACTTCATCAATTTGAAATGGGGTTGTTTTTTTAAGTACGCACAAATTTTCTTTTGAGACTATACATATGAATGTGCCTTTTTCGAATTTTTACATGTAGTATGGCTTCTAGTGCTGAACAAGTGAAAATATAAGCAAGGAGATGAGGGTTTTTTTCTGGGGGGGGGGGGGATGAAGAGCTTTGGAATGTGTTGACAAACTTTTTGGTGCTGTTGTGGGGGCACGCGGCGCGGCCCTCTGTTCAGCAGCGCTATCGGCACGAGCGTGTCGACGATCCAGTATTGTAATGCTTAGTTCAGAGCTAAACCCAAGGAGGAGAGGGGAAGGGCTCCGCGGTGCGTGATCAATTCTTATGTTGCTCGGAGTATGTCGGCTCACCTAAGCGCCTTAGACGAAATTAGCCATTTGCACCGACCGCCCAAAATGTGACCTACTCGGATCACTAGCTATGTGTGTGACATTTGTTCCACACTTTTATAGTGGTCGCCATAGCGGTATGCCTCTCCCCTTCCTTTAAGACGAAAAAGTCAGTATAAATGTTTGGGGGTTGGGGATGTTAGTCATCAAAGTTAACCGCTGTTCGCGGTGGCAACTTAGTTGGGCGGAGGGGGGTGGGGGCACGCGGCGGACGGCGCTCGTCGTCTACGCTTCTGAGGCTTACCGCGGCGCCACTAAATGTCAAACCTCGCGGCGGTGATGGTAAAGCTGGTCAGACTTCGCGAATCCAGCGATTCGCTTGCGAAAGTAGCGGGACTTCCTTTAAACGTTGGTTCCGCCACTTTCAAACAGTATGTCGAGTTTTGCTGCACGTCGTTTCGATCAGCGTTGGCACATAGCTCGATCGGCGGACACAGCTCGAATCACGGCGTCTCTGCAACCTCGGTAAAATCACAAAGGTACACTGGATTTTACAGAAGTATCGACAGGTTGTGAATCCAGGAGGTTTGTCCAATCCCAATGGGCCTCCAAAAACGGTTAGAAAGGAATGAACAGTGGAAGAGTTGATCCAAACGGTGTGCCACTGCACCAAAACCAGTTTTCTATTTCTTTTTTCGTCCAGTTTTGAACCACACTTTAGAAAAATAGGTCTATTCTCTCACGTTTGTGTTGAGATATCGTTCGGTTCTTCTGCCGCTTTCATTATAATCTGTTTCTATTAATTGTGAACATTCACTCATTTCGTGGTGTGATTTTTTTTCAAACTGTATGATACGAGGTGCGCTTTTCCATTTTGAAAGCACTGATTCATCAATATCATAACAGCTGTGTTCCCGTGGTTTTTTCCACGGCACGGTGTCAGTATTAGTAATATGTAATCCGTTTTTGAATGATGTTGGTGAATTTCAGCGACATTGATGCGAGGCGTTGACGCCTCTCTGAATAATCCCGAGTTTCAAATCCAAAACGAAGATTTTCCGGCGTTACCAGGTGCTTCTCCAAGCGACCATCCCGCCCAAGCACCATCATCACTCGTGAGCTGTTTTCCATTTTCACTTGTTTCATGTTCAGCAAGTATTGTGTGATTACGTCAGCGATAAGACAATGATTTATTGTCTGACAGTGTCCATTCATCGTTCTTTCATGGTGTTTCCGCAAGAATCACTTTTCGGATTTGTTTATAACTCGGCAGTGCTCATTAGGTAAAATAACCCATCAATCCAGAAAACCTCTGCCATTATCGATTTTTTCGGCTCGGTCGTTGTCAACCCGCACGTGCCTTTTATGATTTCTCAGCTTTGATTGTCAAAAAGTGAATTGTCGATCGTTGCTAGAATCAATTCCACGTCAATACAGATGACTGCTGCGAACGATATGCCGGTGTCGTCAACGGCGGCTGCTAGTGATCCATTCGGTGTCCGTCCAGCTGGTGAACCAGCAAGGGGTATCATAACCCATCCCGATGGTAAGTATTCCTGTAATAGTGCTTAAATGTCGCGGTTATTTTTTTTACCTTTTTTTATTGCGCCTATATTTGGTAACTGAAGCGTAAACCGGTTGGTCGATCATTTATTAGGTTAGGACTGATGATTTATCCTTTTCGTGCCCGCGAGTCGTGAAGATTGCCACAATTGCTGAATAACTTGACGCATGTTCTGCAGTTGTTTTAGTCTCGGACGATAAATAACAATGAATGATGATTCTTTCTCATACAGTTCTTGGTTCTCTCCCTTTCGTGACCTTCTTCATCTCTTCATTACAGACCGTTCTTACATTATTTTGAACATCTCATTACTTTATTCTTTCAGGTTTTTGTCAATTTTGTGTCATAACTATAAATGGCGATTCTTTCTCCTTGGCTTTCTCTTTTTTGTGGTCGTCTTTTTCTCTTCATTACATCCTTCGTTCGATCGTTCTTCTACATTATTTTGAACATCTCATTACTTCATTCTTTCAGCGCTTTTTGTCAAGTTGTCTGCCTGGCAGTTCCTCTCCAAGCACTCTTTTATCTCCTCTGTGAGTTGTGGCCTTTTACGATCGGCTTCTGTAAACATTGGACTCTGAGCTGAATGCTTCAAACGCATTAATGACTCTATCTATTATTAGCGCGCACTACTGTTTTGAAGGACGCACCGAGCAAGCATTTGAACTACTTGCTCGAATTTACTCAGAGTTGTAACCCTAGAAGCGTTCCGCAACGATAGACGGTTGAGATTAGTTCTGCAAGGTCTGTCTTTAGTAGTATCGGTGTAATCGTTAGTGCTCTGCGTTACTTTCATGAGCCAATTGCTGAAGATGACTAGTTACGTAGTCGATCGTGATTAAGCTCGTGCAACACTTCCGTATATGAAATTCGCACTGGGAAATCGGTTTCGTGCAAATGCTAACGGGCAGGTTTTCGGTAAAGCATACGCCGCTGAGTTAACTATTACCAAAGAGTCGTTTAAGTGAGTAGTGATTATCTTGCCCGAATAGCCCTCTATTTTTATTTTACATGCTTTAACTCACTTGCTGGGTTTGGACTGTCATGTTATTGTAAAATGTCGGGCTCTGGTGTGTAAGTTCAGCCATTACGTGATGAACTGCCATAGGTTGATACATTGTTATCCCGGGAAAGTGAAGGTCCCAGACAATGGTACTTCAATGTTGAATGTTATTCATACATTAGCTTTGTGTAGCGGTCACCTTGAAAGAAATTAGTACGATTTTTAAGGAGAAGTGTCGAACATTCCTCCAACGATGCTAGCCGATCAGTTTGGCATGGCAGGACTCGTCACCTACCTGCGGACTGTTGACAACCCGTCCATAGTGTCACTAGCTCTCGGCTACGATCTCACTACCCTTGGACTTAACCTGAATTTGTCTGAGTACGTTTTATCAGCCTTTGTAGTCCTTTGTGTGTATTGCTAGTAGAGCTATTGCATTTCATTTTACAAGCAGACGAGAACACACAGAACTTCTGCTTTTATGTAGTAGGGATTATCTGCCAAAGGTCTGTGGTGGGCTCATAAATGGATTTTCAGACGACATCTATACACCTCCTTCGGTGGTCCCTGGGCTGACAATCCGATTCGGCCGCACGAGCTGGACGTGAAAGTATGTTTTCAACGTTGGCTTTTTCTAATCCGTTTGCTTATATTCGATTATTTTTTCAAGGTACCCGATGACTACTTGACAAATGCTCAAATTCGGGAAAAGCTGCCTCCGGTAAAGTTAAACAAGTTGTCAGAGGACGTATTGTTTTACTTGTTTTACAATTGTCCAGGCGAGGTCTATCAATTAGCGGCTGCTTGCGAGTTGTGAGTTTTTATATACTTATTCTTCACTATGCATTAGATAATTGTGCCAACGTTAGATATATCAATACATTAATTTGTATTTGAGGATATTTGAGTGCTTTTAATCTTGCTCTGTTTCGAATTTGACTATTATGCATTTGACAATTTGGTAGGCGCTAGTCAGTGGCGCTGGCGGACCTGGCCCATCAAAATGTAGATCGAGTATTGGAATAGCTCGTGTTTAAAGACATTGATAATATAGCATATGTGAATAATTGGAACGAATTTGTTTATTGCTTTTATTGCCGCTACCGAGCATTAATCAGCCAGCGGTAATATAGATTCCCCTAGGAAAATACTTCACGGGTGCGTGAACCATCTCGTTTTGCACACTCACATCCCGGAGTCGAAAAAATATAGGAATAACTCAGGCAACATCGAACTCCCGCAACACAGTGCTCACTCCCCCTACTGAATGAGATAGATGATTCCCGATTAAAGATCCTCTTCCAAGTCCCGGTCTAAATATTGTTTTGCTGTGGTGATAAGCCATTTCCAGCTGCTGATATCATAGTGAAGGAATCAAAATTCCTCGCAGCAATCTTCATAACATTTGCAAATGCTGAGATTGACGTAAATGATGTGAAATTTGCAGAGAGCAGCACTTCGATTCTTTTTAGGTACCAACGAGATTGCGATTCCATAAGGGGAGATCTCGGCGTATATTGTGTTTGACTGCGGTCGCAATACCGGTCGGTTGTCAGAGCAAACTGGGTCGCTTATCGAGAAGGCAGACAATACAACGTGTTCGATCCATTGCAATGGCGAAAGGTGTGACTTGCAACGTTTGTTCATGAAGCCCCTCCTTGTTCATTAACATTTAGTGAAAACTTTTGTTGCCATAGTTATTGTTCACTTTATTGTTTCAGATCCCCAAAGAGCTAAAATTGGAATACAAAGAGCTGGAAGAGCGGCCGAAACTGCCGGCGATGTTCGGTGGTGGTAGCGGAGCGACAGCACCATCGATGGGCGCGTCAGCGCCTCGTCCGGCGTCGTAGTGTATTCGGAGAGCGGAGCGGTCGCCTGCACGCCTCGTGGAGTGCGTCACGCGTTGCTCTCGATCAGTCAGGCTCTGTGTGTTTCCACTACAATCGTGTTCACCTCCAATCACCTCCCTACCACCACTTCATCGCATTGTATTTATAGCGCCTCCCCTCACCATCAATGATAGTGTGTCTTGAGATGTTGTCATTGCAGTCACTGCCCTGACTACGTCACCAAGCTCGCGCCACCCCCACCATGTGTTTATAACCCCGTCCCCCTCAAAGCTGTTAATGGTGCTCTAGGTGCTCAGTGGTAACGACATCGCTTCCTCTCAGCAGAGCTCGTCGTGCATCTGTCTGCTGATTTCTGTGGGCGGGTATGCAAACGGGGCCGCGGGCGGCCCTTCTTTCCAATTCCCGTTTTTCATGCTCGACCAATTCACTCTATTCCTCATTGTTTACGCGTTACAAGTATTGAGAGCGATAGTCGTCGGTTTGATCTACTTTGCCCAAAATCATCATCATTCACATCATAATTCCTGTCTGATCACTGCACGCCCACTTCTGTACCATCTAGTCGTCATGCGTGCACGTATCATCCACCCGGTCGGGCGCCGCCCTTGTCCGTATAAATCGTACATTTTGTTACAATTGTAATAAAGCGTTCTACTTCACTGTGTTTTCTGCTCAGTTTTTCTGCCGGGCTTTATAGGATGTACAACTGCCCAAGGGCTGATGCTCTTACTTGCGCTAAATAAGGCAAGTAATCTCAACGTTTCTGCAGCAGCCATTGGTAGCCAACAATCATTGGATTCGTAACATGACATTTGAGCGCCGCTGTATACGACAGCGTTGTTGCGTTGTCTACGTAAATGAAGCTTTCGTATTTTTTGCACAAGATGATAAATAGCGGCCCGTGCAGAATCTTTATGAGATAGCTTGTACCTTTTGCGGAAAAGTGCCTGAGAGAATAAATATATCAAATTGCGTAACTGACCATTACTAAAGTGTGGGGAAAATAGGCATGTGGAAGAATTAAACAGACAACTATTGCTCATTTCCATTCGATGACTGTCATATGCCTTTTTTCCCTGTTGCTTCCTAAAACTCTTGACCAAGGTCTCCTTTGTTATTCCCCTTAATCGCTTCCAGAATGTGAAGTGACAGTCGGTGGTTAAAGAGCATGTTCTTAAAGTTACGTGTGAATGCGACAGTAACACCACTTCAATGATGGAAAGCGTCCAGGTAAGGCCGGGTTCATACTTTGGGAATCTAACGAATTGAGCGATTCGCTCGCGACTCGCTGGATTTGCAAAGTCTGACACCGGCCTAAGACCTGAGATAGAAAGTGGTTGGACGAGCGTAACTTCGATAAAAGATAAGGATAAGCCATAAAAGACCACGAGCTACTTATGGTAGTATTGAGGTGCAGTCCATGAGTAAATTGAACGGAGATAACGCGCTATTCATATCTGGAAATGCTGCGCCGTTGCCATAGTTCACAATAGTGCCTAAGGTTCCTCGGAAGTTAAAAGTAACTCCTTTTCTGGTGCCTTATCAGGGTACCGGTTGATAAACGGTCGCAGCTGCTCCCGGAAGCGACACACTGTGTTTCATCAGTATAGCCCTACCCGCGTCCCGGCATTAGTGTTGTCTTCGCACTCGTTCAGACTCGATTTGTCGCGGCCAGTCCCTTTAGCCATGAGTACAAATGGCGTCTAAGGAAAAATCAGTTTGCCAAGGAATCAACTAAAGTTCAGATAATTTTCACAATGCCCCCTTAGCGGCCATCCACAGGTATAGTGGTGGTTTTCTGGGAACCAAGACGAACATAAGGCAGACAATTTATTTAATCCACCCGATCACAAAATACCTTTACAGAATCTTACAATGAAAATGAAATTTCGGAAAATAATTTGAATATCCGCTTTCGTGTCGTTTATCGAGCGTCATACACCATCACTGAAAATGAATAAAGTAAGTTTAGCGTTGCCATACCGACTACTGGTTGAAAGTTTGAGGGAAATTAAATACAAGAAAAAAGACAAGAAGACAAAATGTTGTGATGTAGTTGTGTACCAGCACACAACCACCAATACACCATTCGTTCTGCGCGGAAAAAATGGGACCCATACCCATCACCATCTGGAGACGAACAAGACGACAAAAGCATTGTTTACGTACGGTCAAATGAATCATGGAATTGAAACGAAATTGTTATATACATATCAAGAGTCAGCTCCTTCCTCTTTCAGTAAAACCACAAGGCCTAGTCCATTCATTTTTGAGGAATCACTGGAACGCTGGGAATAAACGAGCAGCTGTGCGAGCACTGATTCAATGTAGACGACCCCCAAAAAGCCGCAATGAAGCTTTTTAATGTTGAACCAGACAAAGCCGAAAATAATGGGTAAAGATGAATGAAGATAGCAAGCTGCTTGAACTTGAGTCGGAGCCTCGAACCCTCCCAAACAGTGTTGGTTTAAAATATAGACACGCATAATACGATAAAGATAAAGGATAAAGCATTTGCCGTTGATCAATCCCTTTTTGGGATGCGGCACGCATTCTACTTCCATTTGTACATTCGCAGTGGCATTTGAATGCGATGTGGCCTATACAATGACTTGCGGGGGCCAGCCGATGTCAAGTGTCAGTTTTTTTATCCTCCCAGACAAGTCTGGTACCAATTAACCGACCCCGGAGGGATGGAAGGCTTGGTTGGCCCGGGCGACTCACGACCCAGGATTTGATCCCGGACCGCTCGCGTGGTGAGCGCGCCACTTGTCACTGCACCACTTCCGCCCCTGATTCTCATGAAATCCTTCGGAAATATTTGCTTATTAATTTTTCGTAAAACTAACATTTCCTGCTTCTTTTCTTGTATAGGATTCGGTAGCCACACTCTCGACATCGAATAGCGTCCTTGGGACGGATTTCGTTTTCATAATGACATTCTGAAATGAAAGCTATGACATTTGCCTCACCAATACTAAAACAAAATACTCGTAAGACCTCTTTGAAGACCCTTTTATGAAAATGTCTTGGTTAATAGGACATGAATCAGGGTGCGGCCACTATTTTTGCTTTTCGCAGCACTAAGCAGTGGACCTGATGGTCTCACAGCGAGGTTTCGCGCTGCGGAAAGCGTAAAACTCGCTTTCTGTCCTAGCGAACCACACCAAAATCAGGGAAGAGAAATGAAAACTCAATTAAGCATAAGTAATACTATGTGGAAGCTGCTGAAGGGCGACAGCCATCAATTAAGATTCGAGGATCGCTTAGTGAATCCAAATGCGGGACCCGGCACCAACGCGGACAAACGCTCACAGTATAAAGAAGAAGAAGAAGGTTGAGGAATTCCCACAATACCAGCGACCGCTTTGGGAAGTTCTTGGAAGATTGTCGCTACGGTTCTTTTGACGCGATTTCGTGTGAAACCAACACAGGTCCTGGACAAGGAAGGCTCATCAATAGACCATATGTAGAAGAACAAATCTAGTGAGGGGATCAGTGCATGCACCATCTTGCAATTGCTGCAGAATTCGACCAACCTTACCACTAATTATTTATTATTTGGTAGATAATTTACTTCAATTAAGAAGGCAGAGGTGCTGGCAGACAGAAGAGAAGCAGGAAGTGCTCTTCTCAGCTTTCATTGGAGCCCCGTTCAGGCTTGGAGACTTCGGCTAGTTTATGCGAAGATGCGATGAAGCGACCAAGCGATTACATCGACTGACTAGACTCCGCCCTACAGCGTCACATGCGAGATAGCGTCTACATTTTAGCGATTGCGTGAAGCGAAGTTGCGATGGGGCGTTGAGGCGACGAGCTGAGCGAGCGTGGAAGGATTTGATACGTGTCGTCAGCAGATAGATTCGATTCGAGTCCATGGATGAACCACCACAATCTTTGTTTGTGTTGCTGCTACTGCTGTTATTGCTTTTTGAGATTCATTTATTGACGTATAGCCGTTATATATTCTGTTTTTGGTCTTCCCATGCGTTGTCTTCCCTCGTAAATTTTTTGACATTGATAAATTAGACTGACGCGTTGCGGCGCGTGCGTCCCTTCTGCGAACGTGCTACCAATCGCTTCATCGCCTCATCGCATAATAGCCGAAGTCTCAAACTATGAACGGGGCCTTATAGCATATGCCTTGACTCGAAGGCGGACTTAACGGTGAAAAGACAACCCACCAGAACACGTAGGGAATATCAATCGTTTTATGTGAAGAAAATCTCACAATGATCATTTAAATCATACGTATAGTGAAAGTATCTTCACTTGATCAAGTAAAATCACGAAGAAAACGAAAAAAAAAGATTTAACATCCGACATACCTCCACAAATGTAAATCATACTAGTCGATTTCGGGCCAGCAGCTGCCCCACCAGGCATGGGAGTCATTCCACCCTCCATTATCTGAAAACAGTGCCTTTGAGTGCAATTGAATATCAAGTTGCGAACGGTTTCCGGACGACAACAGTGCCAGACACACATAAGAAGGAGAACTTGAGTCTTGAGAAGACCTTTTAAGAAGCTAGGTGAAAGGATACGCACGTCTACAAGTACAATCCAGCACAAACACTAATCAGAAAAGGCAGAAGCTTCAAACATGCAGGAATCTCACATCTCACATCATCTTCGAAATTTGCCGCGCCGCGACCGCTGGATATTCGTTTGAAGTATTCTTTGGAGCACTTTATTTTTGCGCCACGGGTTAACGTTTTACCTTGGTGTCAAGGCATATTGTTATGGGTTTTCAATGTTTTATATTGTCTTCTGCCCTTCTTTTTTAACTGATTTGAGTGCAAACTAATTGGGTTGAACATCTAAACTTTACGTCTCATGGACAGCACTAGGCCTAACAGGGACAGGAAATCCATGGGTAATAAGAACTGTTCACGCACCGAGGAATCCCTCTTCTTTGAAACTCAGTTCAAACTGTGTATCCTTAATTCGTGACAAGCGAAGGCTGGTTAATTTGCACCTTGGCGTTGTTTTTTCACCCTGGTTCTGTAGTTGTTACTGGTTGAACTTGTTACCTAAGAGTTTCATTTAAATCATTCTAATGAAGTTTTTATTCTGGAGACAGGATGTCGTCGGAAACATCGGCAACAAATACACCAGATGTGGAAATGGCATCCTTGAGAGGAAATACCATTGGTAGCGCACCACAGCCGACAGAGTCAAGACCGTTTGTATTGAAGGTATGCTTTTATGTTATGCTTTTTTACCACTGAAGTTTTATGCTTCCCACTTCAGTTTTCATCGTACAGTCGTGATTATCGATTGGTCTGTGTTCTATATATTCTTTTGCGAAAAGAATTATGTACAGCGTTCCGCAGTGCCTGAACATTAGTTTAGTTTGCGAACTGGGCTCTTTGTGCTTTGGGGGAGAAGGTGGCAGTCTGTAGGAAGGCTATTAGGACTAATGAAGAGGGACAAATTCCAGAGAGAATGAGAATTGCTCGCTCACCTTGGAGTCTCCTCTAAATATAAGGCTAGTTGTGAAACTGAG